TGCACCAGTACCTTGGGGCCAGCCTGGGGACCTGAAACATAGAGAAGGGGACTGGACCCCCCTCCCAAAACCAGGCATACCATGCCGGCACATTAGGGCCTGCCCAGGGACCTGAGGCAGGGAGAAGGGGGCCGGACATCTATCCCACAACCAGGCACAACATGCAAGCACCTTGGAGCCCATCCAGGGACCTGAGGCAAGGAGAAGGGGAACGGTTCTCTCTCCCACAACCAGGCACACCGTGCCAGAGCTTCAGGGCCCACGTAGGGACCCGAGGCATGGACCTGAAGCATGGAGAAGGGGAATGGACCTCTCTCCCACAACCAGGCACACCACGCCAGCACCTTGGGGCCTGCCCAGAGAGCCGAGGCAAGGAGAAGGGGAACAGACCTCTCTCCCACAACCAGGTGCACTGCACCAGTGCTTCAGGGCCTGCCTGGGGCCCCGAGGCATGGAGAAGGGGACTGGACCCTCCTCCCACAGCCAGGCACACCATGCCAGCACCTTGGGGCTTGCCTGGGGACCCGAGGTAAGGAGAAGGGGAACGGATCTCTCTTCCACAAGCAGGCACACTGAGCCAGTGCTTAAGAGCCCACCTGGGGACCTGAGGTATGGAGAAGGGGACTTGACCTCTCTCCCACAACCAGGCACACCATGCCAGCACCTTGGGCCCCTCCCAGGGACCCAGGGCATGGAGAAGGGGACCGGACCACCCTCCCACAACCAGGCACACTGAGCCAGCACCTTGGGGCCCACCCAGGGACCCAGAGCATGGAGAAAGGGGACTGGACCTCTCTCCCACAACCAGGCACACCACACCAGTGCTTCAGGCTCTGCCCAGGGACCTGAGGCATGGAGAAGGGTTCTGGACCTCTCTCCCACAACAAGGCACACCAAGCCAGTGCCTTGAGCTCCACCCAGGGACCAGAGGCAAGGAGAAGGGGACTGGACCTCTCTCCCACAACCAGGTACACAAAGCCAGTGCCTCAGGTCCTGCCCAGTGACCTGAGTTATGGAGCCAGGGACTGGACCCTCCTCCCACAGCAGGCACAAAACACCAGCACCTCAGGGCCCACCTGGGTATCCAAGGCATGGAGAAGGCGACTGGACCCTCCTCCCACAACTAGGCACATGGTGCCAGTGCCTTGGAGGCTGTCCTGTGACCCGGGACACGGAGAAGGGGACTGGACCCCTCTCCCACAACTAGGCACATGGCGCCAGTGCCTTGGGGCCTGTCCAGGGACCAGAGGCAAGGAGAAGGGGACCAAACACACCCCACAACCAGGCATACCGCCAGTGCTAAGGGGCATACCAAAAACAGAACCTCCACATTGGTGGCCCACCACAGCCACCACAATAAACATGGTTGCTGCAAAAGTGGCTGGATGCCACAACCAGCACACAGATGGTCTGCCAACCACTGGAGTGCATTCACACAAGAAGAGTCACCAGCAGAGACNTTATTCTTTCAGAAGGAGAGAAGAAATCTAGGGCAATTAGAGGGGGGAGGGGGAGAGAATGTGGGAGGGTAGAGATTGGACAAGGGACACAAAGAATAATTACGATTTATAACAATATATATGCTAGTAATACTGATTTAATCAACATATCTAAATGTTCAACCTCAAAAATATGCATAATTGATTTTGATTCAATAAATAAAATAAATTTAAAAAATAAAAATAAATAAATAAATAAATAAAAGAATATATTCCTATAAGTACAATTACTGAATCAAAGTGATCAAATATTTTAAGACATGATACATATTAAAAAGTGAGATCTATTTCCACCCCTTTCATTTCATTTAAACTTTAAGTTTAATTCGAAGCATTGTAAAATCTGCACATTTGGTAGGCGCCTGTCCATTGACTAAGTTTTGAATAAACAATATAGCATATCACTAGAAATCAGTAAGTTAATACAGAAACCAAAAGGGCATTCATTTGACCTGTTAAAATTCACCTTACCTTATCATCATTTAGTTAACATAAAACCATGTCATAAGCTCCTTAAAGTGAAGGAACTTGTATATATGTTTCTCAAAAAAAAAACTTGGCTTCCTCAAACTTTGTATAAAAATTTCAAGCTGAAACTCACCGGGGAGGAAAGTGATGGTGGAGATGTCAGTGTTTGGGCGTTCTTCAAAGTCCATCATCACCTGTGCAGACGCCTGCCGCGTGTAGCACCTCACTGAAGACCTGTACTGGACATCGCCACTCCTGTGGATCATTGCAATTATCTGCCCATCACTTTCACTGCCAGTATATACTCGTTCTTTGAATTGCATTTTAGGCACTGAAAAAAACAAATAAATTCAAGGATCAAGTGGACAGAAATTTCCTTAGGGAAAATGGCATTTCAGAAGATTTGTTTAGTGGAATCATGGAAAAGTGAGAAGAAATGGATCCCAGTTTCCACTCAGTCACATGCCAATGTTTGGACCTTGAGCCCATCACTCAGCTTTAAGAATTTTGATTCCTATTTTGCTCTGCCTATTTTGTAGAACAAGGATAAGCAATAAAGTGGTAAAAAGCATATAAAACCAGAGAACATATTTGTATCTATATATGTTGCATAGTCATGAGCTTTGCAGAATTTCTTGATATGAAGACCATTAAATATTGTGCACATAATTATAAGCATAGTTTATCCAGACCATGTTGGGAAAGTTGACAGTGAGTGTGTACATAAATACATATGTGTGTGTATGTACATATATATATATGTATGTACACGAGGGTACTTCAGAAAGTTTGTAGAAAAATCAAATTAAGGCCGGCCCGGTGGCGCACTGCTACAGTGCGCCGCTTGGGAGTGCAGCGGCGCTCCCGCC